GTGCTGAGTGACCCCGTGGAGCCTTGCTGGGATGGCCTTGGGGGATTGGAGCTGGCAGGAGGTGGAGCCAGGTGGGGTCAGGCTCTGCTCCAGGGGAACGAGGGACAGGATGAGAGGAAAAGGCCTCAAGTTGCTCCAGGGGAGGTTTAGATTGGATATTGGGAAAATTTTTTCATGGAGAGGGTTGTAAAACATTGGATCAGCCTGCCCAGGGAAGGGGTGGAGTCCCCATGCCTGGAGGGATTTAAAATCCCTGTGGATGTGGCACTTGGGGACAAGGGTCCGTGGTGGCCTTGGCAGTGCTGGGTTAAGGGTTGGATTTTATGATCTCGAGGGCTTTCCCAGCCTAAATTCCACGATTCTGTCTGCCTGCAGCTCCCTTGCTGCTCGTGCTGACTCTACCCCTGCATTCCTGAGGATCTGTGGGAAATCAGCAGCTGAGTAGAGGAGAGGGACCCCAGGGCAGTGTCTTGGAGGGAGAGGAAAGGAGAGCTCCTGTCACATCCCAGACAACACAGAGATCAGCCTCGGGATGCCTGGTGGGAAAACCTGGCTCCATCCGTGCTGCTGCTCCCAGGAATGGGCAATTCTGGGATGATGATCCTCCCTCTCCTCTGCACTGATCCACCTCCCAGACCTTCTCCTGCAGCCCCTCAGCCCCAAATCCCTCCCACCTTTCACCACTCAGCCGTTTTCCTTCTCAGCACCTGCTGCTTTCTCCGGTCGTGCCTTTTCCTTCTCAAAGATTAACTCCCCTTAAGCTCCTGTAAATGACTTTGCTGCTCCAACAGAGGAGTTTCCTTAGCTCTAATCCCAGTTTATTTTTCATCCAGCTGGATCCAGGCCCTTACAGAGCTCAGCACCTGTCTGTGAGGGGGATCATGTTAACCCCGAGAGCCTGGATGGGCCTGGCAGGGAAATGTTTGGCACGTTGTTTTGTGGGATCAGGGTGCTGAGCTGTGACCCTCTGAAAGATGATCCAGCCTAAGAAGAAGCTGGACTAACTGGGCTAACTGGGCTAACTGGGCCAGTTTGGGCTTCCCCAGGCAGCAGTCACTGGGAGAACTGGAGTCTGGAAGCCGGGGAAAAAGAAGGATTTAAAGTCCTGCTGGAACGCCCGTGTGTGATTCCGTCGGGTGTCTCTGCTGGTCTTGAGCACAGACTCAGGACTGATGGAAATAATTCCCGTCCCTGCGGGAAGAACTGGCTGGGTTTGTTGTTCCAAGCCGGAGTTTCGCTGCCCGCCTCGAGTTTTCTTAAAATCTGGCCTTGCAGATGGAAGCTGACAAGGAATGTTCCTGTGACTCCCTCCCGGAGCCAGCAGGAAGCCCAGCCCCACTCCCAGCTGGCACGTGTGGGGTGGCTCCCCGAGACCCCCAAATCTCCCTCAGGGTGGTGGGCTGACCCTGGGTGGGTCCTGGGTGCCCCCCAAAGCTGCTCTTGCTCCCCTCTTCAGCTGGGCAGGGAGATAAAAATCCAAGGACAGGCTCATGGGTCGGGATAAGGACAGGGAGGGGTCACTCACTGGTTACTGTCACGGGCAAACAGGCTCGATTTGGGGAAATTAGTTTAATTTATCAATCAAATCAGAGCAGGGCAGTGAGAAATAAACCCAAATCTTAAATCACCCTCCCCCACCCTTCCCTTCTTCCCAGACTCCTGAATTCTCTCCCACAGGGAATGGAGGCTACAATCATACATTGTCTCTGCTCCTTCCTCTTCAGGGGTTGGACTCTTCACACTCTTCCCCTGCTCCAATTTGGGGTCCCTCCCACGGGAGACAGTTTTCCATGAACTTCTCCAGTTTGAGTCCTTCCCAGGGGCTGCAGTTCTCCGTGAACTGCTCCAGCATGGATCCCTTCTTCCAAGAGATCAGTCCCTCGGGAACAGGCTGCAGGATCACGAGTCCTGCCAGGATCCTGCTCCAGTGTGGGCTCCCCTCTTCATGATGCTCCTGCCAGGACCCTGCTCCAGCGTGGGCTTCCCATGGGATCCCAGCCTCCTTCAGGCATTGCCCTGCTCTGGTGTGGGGTCTCCATGGCTCCCTGTGGATCTCTGCTCCCCCTGGACCTCCATGGGCTGTCCAGGGCTACAGCCACCTCACCACAGCACCACAATCTGCCAGGGAATCTCAGCTCCAGCACCTGGAGCTCCTCCTGCCCCTCCTGCCCCTCCTTCTGCGCTGCTCTGGGGGTCTGCAAGGTTTTCCTCTCACACATTCTCACTCCTCTCTCCCTCTGCTCTTCCACACCAGTTTCTCCTCTTCCTTCTTCCCCATTTTATCCCAGAGGTTCTCCCACCATCACTGATGGGCTCAGCCTTGTCCAGCGTCCTGGAGCCGGCTGGAATTGGCTCCGTGGACGCGGGAGAAACTTCCAGCACCTTCCCACAGAGGCCACCCCTGCTCCCAAAATCTCCCGGTTTCTAGATGAGCTCACATAACGCCCACTGTTGAGGGTTGTTCCCCCTCCAGAAAAAAATGGGAAGAAACTTCATTGTTGACTGAACAGTCGTTGATCCGGGGAAACAACAACCCCTCCTCTCCTTCCCCAATCCAGGGAAACGCGAGTTGTCAGTCGAAATGGATCTGGTTGGATTGATATCAGCCAAAGAATTGATATTCTTTCTGGTATTTAACCAAAAAAGTGATAGTCTTATGTCACTCCAAATGTGGTTTTAGATAAACAGATTCTCTCCCCTCTGTTGTTACAAAACATTTCGTGTGTCAACATTTAGGGACTGTATCAATTATCTGGCTCGAGCTGCGAGGGGAGGGAGGGGGGTTTTCCCTTGTGAGAGGGATTTGGGTTATCATCCATATTCATGGGAGAGATTTTGCCGCCTTGGGAAGGACGGGATGGAACCTTTAGAGAAGGGAGAGTTGCCCTGCAAAGCCTTTGTGGCTGCAAAACGATTTTATTTTTCCTTTTTCGGATCGTTCGGGCTCCGAGCAGAGGTAAAGAAAACAAACCTGGGTGATGGGCGAGTTTTTGGGATAAAGGTTGACCTCGGAGCTTCAGGGATAAGAAGGGAGCAGGAAAACGTCGCTGTGGGGTCAGAAGGAGGTTTGAGCTGCAGCCACTTTTAATTAAAACAAGCAAATGATTAACTCCCAGGACACGGTACAAGGATGGCAGCGGGTTCGCTCCAGGGGGCAGGATGTGTCCCTGGAATGGATCTTTGCTCCTCATCTCCCCGTTCCTGAGGATGGTTGGGTTTTCCAGCGCGGCAGGGAGAGGGTAGGAGGGGAGGTGATGATGGAATAATTTGGTTTTAACAATATCTCTAAGGAAAAACGAACAAGAAATTATAAAATACCGTTTTTCCCCCCCTGTTTTCTGCTCCGCTTTTTGCCCTCTGGACACAACCAGAGGCAGGCTCTGCTTCAAGCCCCTTTTCTGTCCCTTTTCCACCTGGAGCTGCAGGAGTCTTGCCACTCAGTGAAAAGGGATCAGTGGTGGATCAGCCTAAAACCAGAAATTGGTTTTACAGGTGGAAAGAAAATAGGGGGGAAAAAAGATCATCTCCACACCCACAAAGCAGAGCAGCAGCATCCCCACAGCAAAAAAAAATGGGATGTTCATGTTTTTCCCTGTGCAGCAAAAATAACGGATTTATTTTCCAGGTACATTTTTTAATTCCTCCCTTAGAAGGAAAAAAACCTGTTTATGACCTGCCTTTATTTCCTTTATTGCCTTCATTTTAATCTGTTGCCTTTACTACTCCGGCACCAAACCTTCCTCTTATTCCCCGACTCCTCTCCCTGCTTCATCCACATCTCCTGTCTATTTGCTGTCCCTTTGCTCTTCCTCGGAGAATTGATCCTAATCCTCCAAACAATTTCGCCGGCGTTCGAAGGTCCAGACACTTCTTATTCCACTAATCTAGGGAAGAGGATTCTGGAGACGGCTCCGTGTGCCCCCCCCTTGTGCCCCCAGCCCTGCACGACCTTGGGTTTATCTCCACAAATCGTTACCATTTCCAGGTTCTTTATTTTTAATCAGGTGTTTATTACAAAGGTCAATGGCAGTTGTCGGGCTCCTGTTGAAGTGAGAGTAGGTGTTTCCACGAGGGAAGGGAATCAGAGAATTGTTTGGGTTGGGAAAGGCCTCCAAGATCGTTGAGTCCGAAGCTTACCCGGCGCTGCCGAGGCCAGCACTGACCCATGTCCCCGAGTGCCACATCCGCGGGTTTTTTGAACACTTCCAAGGATGGTGATCCCACCACTGCCCTGGGCAGCTGTGCCAGGGCTGGACAACCCTTTCCAGGAAGAATTTCTCCCTGACATCCAGCCTAAACCTCTCCTGGCATAACTTGACACCGTTTCCTCTCCTCCTGTTGCTTCTTTTTTGGGAATAGAGCCCGACCCTCCCCAGCTCCCCCCTCCCGTCAGGGAGTTGCAGAGCCAGAAGGTCCCCCCTGAGCCTCCTTTTCTCCAGGCTGAGCCGCCCCAGCTCCCTCAACCGCTCCTGCTGCTCCAGCCCCTTCCAAGCTCCAGCCCCCTCTCAATGTCCCTC